CACACAGAGGGAGATGGAGGAAAACACCCACAGCCGATCTGACCCCCCACACCTGCACACACATGTATACAACACAAAGAAAACCCTGTTTAGGCCAGGCAGTGGTGGCGCACACCTTTAATCCCAATACTCGGGAGGCAGAGGCAGGAGGAGTCTGGAGCCAGCTTGGTCTAGAGAGCAAGTTCCAGGACAGGCTCCAAAGCTACACAGAGAAACCCTGTCTTGAAAAACAAAACAAAAAAAACCCTGTTTAGTCTATGGATATACCTGATTCTATCAGGTACTGGAAGGGTTGGGTCTGATAGTGTATTAGTGGGGAAAAGCAAGCCCTAGTTTCAGGATAATATAATGGGAAATACATATAAAATCAAAGGTTTGAGTCTTACTAAAATCATGTCTAATACCTTTTCTTTTAATCTGTTTTATGTGTATCAGTGTTTTGCCTGCTTTTATGTCTGAGCAACTCATATATGCCTTGTGCCTGTGGAAGGCACAAGAGGGCATCAGATTCCCTAGAACTGGGAGTTAGAGATGGCTGTGAGAGTCATGTGGGTTCTCTGGAAGAGCAGTCTGTGCTTTTACCCCCTGAGCCATTCCTCCAGTCCCACTACTGCTAGTTCTTGAGCACAAGAACCACTCAAATTTTTTCCAAGATTGCTGGTGTAGAGCATATATGGGCAGTAGAAGGTGAACGGGGATGATCAAAGTGCATATGTATGAAATCATGAAATAAACTATTTATTTACTTAGAGACAGGGTTTCTCTATATAACAGTCCTGCTGTCCTTGAATTCGCTTCGTAGACCAGGCTGGCCTCGAACTTACTAAGATCCACCTGCCTCTGCCTCCCAAGTGCTGAGATAAAAAGGCATGCCCACCACTGCCTGGCAAAATCAACAAATTTTAAATCAAATAAATGGGCAGCATGATGGGTCAGTTACCACAGGTCGGTGCAGGAGAGAGGGGATTGTTTTCATCCCAGCTCCTCTGCTCACAGGCCTGTCTGACGTGAGTTTAATCTGGACCTCGGGTGGGTCTGTGGTACATATACAAGCACCATGTTCCCTGCCCACTGTCTGTTCTGCATGCCAAAGTGAAAAAGGCTCTTAATTACGAAAACACAAAGTAACAAAAAGAACACCTAGTAAAAGTTCTTTATTTTCTTCTTGTATTTGCTTTATATTTCACTTACAAAGTTATCAAGTTCACAGCTTTTATACCAAAACGTAAGAAGGCTGTTTAGAAATATCTTTGCAGTCAAACGTCACCTGACATTTCTTCTAATCCATATTTAATGTTGAAATACAATAAGAAACCAAGTTGCTGGGCAGCTCTGGGTATTACTCCCCCCACGGCCTTTCCTTTTCTACCCTCTGCCAGCACTGGGCTACTTCTGGGCCTTGTCCTTGGGATTGGAGGTGAAGAGAAGGTTGCTGTGTGGTAAGTGGTGGGTTAATTAACACAAGGTTTCACACACATCTGCATATGGAAGTGTGTGACCCCACCCCCAACACAGCTTTCTCCTTTCTTACCTATAGGGCCACCTCCCTCAAACCCAAGGCTCTCAATGACAGGACAGGGATGAAACCCTACAAGTACAGCCTTAATAGCAATTCTAGAATTCTTGAAGCAACAGGAACAAATTTGCCATGGAAGTATAAGCAAATCGCAGCTATTTAACCAAACCACAAGACCAGAGTTGTTTAAACTCTAGTTCACGATATACCTCAATTTCCTTCCCAATGAATTATCTTTCATGAGATAATACTGTCATTCTTGTAAGTGTGCACCTACACCCAACAACTCAGCCACATGCCCACACACTGAAATTGTTCCATAGATAAATCTACCAGAAACAAAAGAAAACAAAACCAAACCTTGGTTGGCAAGAGTCACTTCAACCACAAAAGTACTGGCTTGGTTCAGTGTAATTCATGAATTCAAATTTTCAACTACTAACTCTCCTGAATAAAACATTTGCCTCACAAAAGTAACAAGTGTAATGCTAAATAACAACTTCTCAAACTTAAGTCATGTCAGAATGACATGTCTTGCCCTTTTTAAATTTGCATTGTTTACAGTTGAGCAAAATATGCTAAAATGTGTTTTGAACCTAAGTGAAAACTTAAAAAAAAAACCAAAAAAAACAATCAAAGTGTTTGGTATTTTATTAGAGCTGTCACTGTAAACACAAAAGGATTTTTAAAGATTTTCTTTGCTTTGAGCTGCTGGACTAGACATAAATGATTAAAATCATTAAAATGACCTGCAAGTACTCCTAAGAAATGTCTTGGGTTTGGCAGGCTATTAGTCACTTCCTTCATCATTATGAATGATAGACTTAGTGAAGAACTTACGCAGAAGCCACACTTCTGTCTCCTGCAGGCAGCCGCTGAGGAGCCACATTCTCAGCGCCACACTAGGCTGCTCAACCCGGAGAACAGTGACCTGATACTGAGAACAGTTCTCAATCCACTGCTTCAAAGAGACCCTTGTGAAATGAGGACACGCCAATGCAGGCGCACGCATGTGAGCGCACACATGCACACGAGCGAGCAGGCAAACACATGACACAATGCCACCAAGGGAAACTCAGACCACAGTTCCTACAGATCCTGCCCAATGGCATGCCCTTAAGCCCTCAAGCATTCCTCACCTGGTCAACACCTGCCATTCTTCTTCCCTGCTGCACACAGGCTCCACCACCCCCATCCCTCCCTACACTCCCCTAGGTAAACAGGGAACCTGTGCTTCCTTAGCACACTGCCCTGCCTATGTGGAAACCCAGGAGATGATGTAGTTCAGAGAATGACGCAGGTTTAGCAATAAACCCACATGAGCTTTCCTAAGTAATTACTTCCCAGACTCACAGAAGGGTGGGTCCTCTGGTCACCCTTACAGGAAGTGGAGGTGAGAGGTGAGAAAGGTTTTTAATCTTACACAGAAATAGCATAATTATGCTGTCAGTAAGACAGCATAAGATCTGAGCAGCAGCCATGGTTCTCTTCACATCTAAGCCGTGTGGTCAACAAAAGTTTTCTCAAACAATAGTCACTCGTGAGCTATTACCAGCCGCTAGATTCATTAACATTTCCCGGATCCAGTAAGAACTACTGGAACCATTCCAAGGGGGAAAAAGGATATACTTAGTCTTCCATGCAATTTCAGAGGATTCAGACTGGCTTGCAGCCCATCCATCAATCCCTGGTGGAGTTGCCCTGCCCAAGAGCCTATGGGGAGGACTCATCAGGTCAGGTACAATCCTAGGACCAGAAAGCATTGCATCCTGAAGCTAGGGTGTGTGGTATGAGGGTCCTCTCCCTCTGAAGAACCCAAGTTTTGAGAACCCAGAAACAAAATATTAGAAAGTAACACTTGTTTAGTTTTACATACAAGTCTCGAGACAATCCAAGCCCAAAGCATCCTGCTAAGGCACGTGACACGGGTGTTCCCAGCGGTTGCCTTTCCTTCACTGTTCCAGTGCCTTAGTGGCACAGATGTGAAGGCAGACACTGGTTTCAGAAGTCACATCTCTGAAGGACTGTTTGAAGCCCTGCCAAATGAATCTAGATGCTTTCCCCAGCTCCCCTATCTAGCGTGCTGCAGGAGGGGTGAAAGCACCCATGAGCCCCCTGTGCCATTGCGTTAGGCTCAGCAAGATAGTCAGAGATGGGGGCCGGCCACAGAGCAACCCACAAGGTGTCCAGGCTCTGTGGACTCAGAGCCAGATGCTGGAAAGGGGATGAAGGTAGACTTTAGTTCAAGCGGCAGTGGCTGCAGCAGTGAGAGGGGGCGCCACACTGAGCACTCTGGAGTGGTTCAAAACACTAGAAAGGCTGTCTTTAGGAACTTCCCGCCATGGCAAAGCAGCCGGGCTGTTTCTTGGGACTCTCCATGTTTTGTACCCACAGTCAGCTCTGTCCATCTACAGAGCACTCACTAGTAAAATACTGCACATAATTATTAAAAAAGAAAATGATTGCTTCAATTTTAAATACCCAGTTATCTCAAAAGGAGGAATTAAAACCGATCCTGAACATCATAAGCCATCATACAAACAAAAATCAGAAATGACAAATGTAATCAATAAAACATGTGTATGATTAGGGTCAAACTGGGTAACCAATTAAAATCTGATTCTTTAATAAACAACTATAATCTACTAGCATAAATCACTGTCATCTCTCCCAGAAGAACCTGGTTCCTTAAAATCTGCTTAAACGTCACCCTTAAACGCTCCAGCACAGACTTGAATTGTATGTAACCTATTTTCCCACAGACTGCCCAGACTTTGCTAGTGGTAGGTCTGACTGTGAGCCACTTTCTCCTTCCCAGCTTCATCGGAGAAGGACAGAGCGGCCTGTGTAAGGACCGATGTGAAAACAGTTTACAAATGACTTCCCAACATGGGAGGCAAAAAACTTCATGAATCTATTTTGCTGTCATCTTCAGCATGTCGTTCAATATGTCCTGCAACGTCCTAGGAGGAAAAAAGAAAGGGCCATGAGAAACAAGCATGCAGCCAAGCAGCAGAAAGTTAATGCTGATGAACACCGAACTGGATTGTGCACACATTAAGGACATGAGGCACCATCTTCCTGTTAACTACAGGAAGCTATACATCTCCCCTTAGCACCAGAGAACAAACCTAAAGACTCTGCTTAACCTCTTTATTAAAAACAGACCAATTATTTTTTGAAAATCCTGTTTAATTAACTCTCAAATTCCTGAGCAATAAAAAGGAAAATTCCTAGTCACTCCCTATTTCTTGCAATCCTGAACACCTTAAAAAGCAAACAGGGTTTACTGGTCTTTGCTCTAAGTCAATGATCTCTATCTGAGGGTTAAGACCCCTTTGGGAGTCGAAATCCTTTCACAGGGGTCATATATCAGATATCCTGTATATCAGATATTTATATTATGATTTTTAACAGCAAAATTATAGTCATGAATAGCAATGAAATAACTTTTATGATTCAGGTCAGCATAACATGAGGAAATGCATTAAAAGTTCGCAACACCACAGTTGGTTGGTCCAATCCCGCAGAAATACCTGCTTGGATCCTTTTCTAGCTGTGAAAAAAGCATCACAGTTCTTCCAGCGACACTTCAGCGTCTGAAAGTTCGGATTGGTGTGGTCAGTGAGCAAGTGTTGCTTTAAGTGATCCACAACACCAAATATCAGAGCACAGCCATGCCACTGTAAGAAAGGACGGGAGGGACATGAGCACAGGAAACACATATACACGTGTACACACATAAACACCTTCGTCCCCTCTTGCTACATACTCTGGTTGGTCTAAACCCGCTAGGTAGACCAGACTGGCCTTGAAGTCTCAGCATCAGCTGCCTGTGTGGAGATTAAATGACCTCCCACTATGCCCAGCTAGAGCATTTCCTTTATCTTGTGTCATAAAATTTGCTACATTTATTCTGTGATCCTTTTTTGTTTGTTTGTTTGAGACAGAGTTTCTCTGTTTAGCAGTTCTGGCTGTCCTGGAACTCGCTTTGTAGACTTGCAATCCATTTCCCCACAAAGGCAAGCAGCTTTCCCATAACACCGAAAAGCATATTTAACAACTCTCAGATCATGAAGCTAAATTACAAAATGCTAGAAGCTGTGACTGGTGTCACACACTTGCAGTTCCAGCACTTGGGAGGTAGGAGCAGGAGGGTCAGGAGTTCAAGACCAGCTTTGTCAACAGGAGACCTGTCCCAACGCAAACAACAACCTGCTGCGGAAGTCTGGCTTTTAAAACTCACAACTTCTATCACCTGAATCACAATCGTTTACTTACCCACTAAAATAAAATGTAACTTTCTGTAAAGATGGCTCAATCTCAAGTATTCATCTAGCACAAAAACACTGTTCTTGCTTCTAAGCCTTCAGCCTTGTAATGAATGTTATGACTGCCAATTCTAGGATGTTTTAGTGAGCATGTATTAATTATGCATAGTGGGCTTTACTATGGTATTCTCACACGTGTACAATGTATGTGGGTCAACCTCTCTTCACCCTGCTGATTTCTCAACCAGCCTCTCTCCTCTCTCTTCCTCAAAATTGACCCAATGAGCTTCATTAAGGTTGCTTACATAAGTATGGTCAGTGATTATTTATAGAATCACGTCGTACAGCCACCTCACCTGTGGCTACACCAAAGAAAGTATCTCTTCTAGCAATGAGCCATTGCCGTTAGAGCCTCAGAAGGGGCGGACCTTGAGAGCCTCCCCATGTTCATTACTAAATGGCAATAAGAATCTGAGATTTTTTTTTCCAGTCAGATGATTTCAACTACCTTTGTGTTACAAATCTAGTCCTCTATTTTGATTACCTTACCCGAGAAGACTAACAAAAAAGACAGTGACATATGCCAGAACTAAAAAGTAGTAAGGCAACAGACAGGTCGAGAATCAAATTTGATAAAATGTCCAACATTCCATTAATTCTGATAAGGAATTCAGGGTCTGGGGGAAAAGAAACCTAGTGCCATTAACTTCTCATTGGTCACTCCCAGAACCAGAAACAACTGAAAACAAGGCCTACAGGGATGGTGCTTAATTTTGTGGGCTAATTATTAGCTTCCAAACTTGCCATAAATTGTTGTGAGGTATTATCTGAAATGTGTTACAATTGTTTATGCTGTGGAACATTTGTTTTAATGATGCAAAGATGTGTTACATTCTTTTAACTCCGTGAAGCTGTGTTACTTTGCCTGTCTATAACATCTGATTGTTTTAATAAAGAGCTGAGGCAGGAGGACAGGCAGGGCTGGCAGACAGAATAAATAGAAGAGAAATCTGGGAGAAAAGAATCAAGGAGGAAGAAAAGAAGGGGCCAGCCACCCAGCATGGAATAAGAAAGAAAAAAAGATATATAGAAATAGATAAAGGTGGGGCTGGAGAGATGGCTCAGAGGTTAAGAGAACTGGCTGCTCTTTCAGAGGTTCTGAGTTCAATTCCCAGCAACCACATGGTGGCTCACAATCATCTGTAATGAGATCTGGTGCCCTCTTCTGGCCTGCAGGCATACATGCAGACAGAACACTGTAAACATAATAAATAAATAAATAAATAAATAAATAAATAAAAAAGAAAGAAACAGAGAAAGGTAAAAGCCCAGAAGCAAAAGGTAGATGGGATAATTTAAGTAAAGCTAGCTAGAAACAAGCCAAGCTAAGGCTGGGCATTCCTAAGTAGGAATAAAACTCAGTGTGTGATTTACTTGGAAGCTGGGCCGTGGGCCCCCAAAAGAGCAAAGAGCAAAGAATAAAGAGGAGCCTGAAGAGTAATGGAAGCCACAACAAACACTTGTTAACACCGGAGCAGGGGAGGGCAGGAGGAGAGGCTACAAAAGTAAACACCACTATTTACTTCACTACTGATTTTAGTAACAAAACAGAAACTGCCTAGAGGGGAGACTTAATGGCAAAAGACTTGTCTATCACATGTGAGGTTTAACCCTTAGTACTACAAACAAGACAAAACAAAACCCATTCACAGAAATTCTCAAAACAAAACCAAAACCTTGAAGAAAAGTGAGATGACACTGTTTACAAATCTCATAACAAACTTGAGAGATTTTTCAATAAAATAAGAGCATTTTTTGGTATTCATTCAAAATTAAACTCCTCTGCCATTAAAGCATAAAGGCATAAAGCAAATCACGAGACTCAAATGCTACAGGAAGATCGATAAACCAGCCCAGGACCGAGTAACTCTGCAGTATGGCATAATGCTTACCCAACAGCGGTAATTCTGCATCAGATTCAGCCGCACAGCTTGGATGCTTCCATCATAACAACCAGTGTAAATCTGGAGAAAGAGGTTCAGGGTATCAAACTAAATATACATGAAGAAACAAATATAAAAACACCCTTCACAGAAGTATAAACAGAAACTTCACATAAAACCTGGGTTCAGACACCAATGTGGAGCAGTAATTTCCTGACCTTCTGATCAGAGCACCCTTGAAACTGTGCTCCTGGGAGGTCACCCCTGAACTGTGGCTCACAGCAAGGATGGCAGGGATCCAAGGTTCCTGCTTATTCTGTATTGGGATAGGGCTGCCTACTGGGAGTCAGTATTCAATGCAAAAAAGGGTTTTATTACTCAATATCTTGAAAACATCCATCCCAGTTCAAACTCACAATTAAAAATAAAACCCTCTAAACTAAGCAGGGAGTCTTTAATCCCAGAACTTGGGAAGTTGAGGCAGGCTTATCTCTGTGAGTTCAAAGCCAGCCTGGTCTACAAAGTGAGTTCCAGGCCTGGCCTGCCAAGACTACACAGTAAAACCCTGTCTAAACAAATAAGAAAGAAAGGAAGTTAGTTAAGTAGGATTGGGTAAGTTGGCTCTAACGATGCCACATTGGCCAAATCTTCTTAGTCCCCAGTGTCCTGTTCAGAGCATGTCTGCAAAAGCATCATTTTTTTTAAAGCATCTAATTGCATATTCCATTAACAGTGGTAATAGATTTGACTTATTTTAGCTATTCACAGACACAGAACGATCAACAATGTTGCTGGGTTACTTCCTACTATTATGACACGACACAGGGCACACATCACAATCAAGTTGGTAAGATGTCACTTTGGAAGTAGTAAAGGTAGACACATTACTATCACCATATGGGCGCTGAAGTAAACACATTCAGAGGCAAACATCTGACAAATAAGCAATACCCACCACACTTTTATGGATGGTCATACACATAATCATGTCTTTGTGTCCTCCATAAACTTGCAGTCGATCATGGGACTTTGGTGGAAGAAAAAAAGTTAGAGAATTAAGTCAGTGAAGGACTTGACACCAATGCCTTTACAATCAAAGTCTCAAACCCGAAGTCACTATGAGGAGAACTGGACAGGGTTTAAGAGGCTGCGGATGCTCTTCAGAAAGCATCTAAGTTTTGTTAATGGTGATACTAAGCTCAGCACTTGGAAGGTGAAAGCAGCAAGGCCAGGAATTCAGAGACATCCTCAGCTACATTGGAAGTTTGGGGCCAATGGGCTACACTGCCCTGTCTCAATCCCTGTCCACTTATCCACTCTATCCCCCCCAAAGAGAAAGGAAAATGGTAAAAAAAAAAAAAAAAAAAAAAAAAACCACCAAAAAAACCAAACCATGCTAATTTTGGCAACTAGGAGCCTGAGTAAATATCTCAGAGTGGTTTCTGGGTATAGTCTTTGGCCTGGCTGCTTCCTAATCATTTTGGAAGGCTTTTGAGAGGGTAGATTTGAAGGTGCCTATCCTTACTCCAGACAATCTCCTCAAAGCAGTCATGCCAAACACATGGGCCCAATCCTACCTGTAATTCGTAGACTCGGACAAACTTGTCCAGGCAGGCAGTCACCATCACCTTCCCCAGGATATTCACCACAGTTACTGCATGATTGTGACCTTTATAGATGCGCACAAGCTCACCAGTCTGCACCAGAAAAGAGGGACAGTCCTTAGTCTGGCTTTTAGGGTTCCAGTAACACTGTATGACTACAAGGTTCGCTGTAGACAAGCACAGCCCCTCTACTGTTAGCAGCGTACGGTGTCACTCTCACAGTACTGTCGCCCACAGAGAACATTACACACGTCCCGTGACTAATGTTTGTTGACTTTGTGTATTTCGTAGGTACACAGGCCGACTTGGAGAGTCAGTTCTCTTCTGCCATGTGGGTTCAGTGGATGAAACTTAGTTTATGGGATTTCGGAGTAAGCTCCTTTACCAGCTAAACCATTTACCAGCCCTTCTATTTCTGGAGTGTGAGCATCCAAAAGTCATAAATGCTCCAAAATCCACAAGTTTATAGCATAGACATCAATCACAAGTGAAAAACTCTATACCTCACCCCATTTACAGTCAAAACTCAGACACACTAAAAAAAAAAAAATAAATAAAAATTATCTTCAGGCTATGTGTACACGAAACAAATTTTATATTTATACTCAAGATATCTATTTTATATAAGCACACGCAATATACAAATATCTAAATCTGAGATAAGAAACCAGAGCCAAGCCATCCTCTCACTTCCATCATTTCACTGTCCAGTAAAGAGTCAGGGTGGACTGGACTCCATCTGCAGACCAGGAACTGAGCTTCTGCGCAGCATCTGAGAACCACGAGCAGTCTCAAGCCATCTGGATCTATTCTACCTAAACACTCTCTGAGAGCCATGGTCCTCAAGCTTAACAGAGGCATTCAAATGAAACGTCAAAGCTTTCTCTGATTAATTTTTTTTATGAGGTTAGAATTTCCGGTGGTTTGAAATTACCCAAGAGTACACGCACACACACATATGGGGTTATTATTATTCCTTTTCACTAGACAATGGGAGATTTAAAAATTAAGAACGCCGAGGAAGTCTTCCAAACTTCCTTCCACTTCACCCCCAGCTTACATGGATGTTGTGAGCATGGACTGACTGGTCACTGGAGCCGCTGAACACAAGGTCGTTCACCACCTTAAAGAAAACCAGCGAGTTAGTTTTTGTGCAAGGTGACATTAACACACAGTGGCAAATGGGACTTTCCATCCATTTATTTTGAGATGAATACAAACTGTGTATAAAATAATGTTTCCCAGACAAGTTTTCTAACTGGAAATGCATGTCTTACCACCAGGCACTGTGATGAACCTGCCAGAACATTACTAGGTTCATGACCTCTGTGGATTGACTATGAACAGCCCTAGAAGGGCATTAGAGCAAGCCCACACTATAATAAAATACATTTGTTTCTTGCTAGCATTATTAAAAATGGTTGATCATTCTTGTGACCCAAGCACAGAAGACCGCAATCTCGTTGACTATGTTCTTTACAAGATTCTAAGAACACACCACATGGTAATGGAAATGTCCAAACCTATTTACTCACCTTCATGCAAAGAACTGTCTTGCTGTGGCCCTCCAGGGTTCTGAGCAGTAGCCCGTTCCGTGCATCACGGACACTGATGGTACAGTCATAGGATCCTACGACCAGTAGTCTGCGGGCACCTTCCTGGGCTGTGGCGAGACAGCTCACTGCCCGAGGGCCATGGCATTCGAAGATCTCCTGTTGCTTGTTGTTCTAAAAACCAAACCAACATTCTACAAAACCAACTTAGCAAGAAAGCCTCAAAAACAACCAACCAAAACTGCTGCAAATGCACATCTACTGCCCACCCTAAATCCTGAATGTTCCAATCCCTGGCATGCCAGTTCCAACTATCCTGGGACCTCCTTAACCCTAATCTAGTAGGGCAAACTCATACATTACAAATTATTTTATAGTCCAACCCGAACTGTCCTGACCCTGATAACACGTCAATTCCAGTGGAGTTTTTGCCAATGGTTTCTGTAGACTCTTTCAGTTATTTTTCCTTTTTTGAAACAGGGTCTTGCTAAGCAGCCCAGCAAAGCCTTGAACTTACTATGTAGCCAGCCCAGACTACACTCAAACACACAAAAATTCTCCTGCCTCAGCCTTCCCAGTGCTGAGATTATAGGCAAGAGCCACTATGCCTATCTTCCCACCGTGTTTTGTCCCCCAAAAGATATGATACATAGCTCATGATGTTTCAAAAAAAATTTTCCGGAGAGTTACTCATTTTCTTAAACCATTTTAGATTTATTTCACTTATGTGTATGTTCGTTTGACTGGGAGGGAGGGGGCGCTCTGCCATGTGTGTTCAGGTCCCCATGGAGGCCGTAAAAGGGCACTAGCCCTCCTGGATCTGAGTTACTAGTATTGTGAGCAACAGATATGAGCGCTGGGAACTGAACTCTGGTCCTCTTAACCACTGAACCATCTCTCTAATTTAATAGAAAATTCTCAGTGATGGACCTGATGCCTGTGGGCATGTGGTACACAGACATATGCAGGCAAAATACTCTTACACATTAAATAAGATAAATAAATCTAAAACAAACAAACTTTAGTCTTACTTTCACCTTCTGATATCTCACACTCCCTCTCTCTGGAGATGTCTGTTATCGCTCATGAAGTCATTTAACAGAAAATAGCAGCCTTTATATCAGAATGGCATGTTTACACCACAAACTCTAAAAAAATATGTGTTTCACCTCACACTTCATGCATGTTTCCCTTCTCTCTTCTACCCTGCTTGCCAGTCTTATTCACAAAGCTGCTCATTTCCCCCAAAAAATTTCTAAAAGGTACAGAAGGTACATACATGAAGTAAAACTCCCAGAAACTAGGCAGAAAGCAGCAGTTGGCAGTTAAACAATCTTGGCATGCAAAGTAAAGCCTGGATATCAGGGCTAAGTGAGAAACAGGTCTTGCAAGGTGAACAGCCTGGTATGCAGTACTATGTTCTGCACTATAGAGGCATAGGCAACGAAGCAAAGAGCCCTGCCGTTCAACCTATTCACACCTGTACAACCATTTTCAAACCCGCTCTCTCAACTTCCCACCATCTAAAACCCTTTTCCATCTGATATCACCACATGCTCCCTTTGTAATTGATCTCTGACATTAAATAACTGTACAAAAGAGAAAAAACATTTTAACTATCAAGCTTTTGTCCTTTATAAATAAAATTTTAATTTACTCTTATGTCCTTATTCCTATTGCTTAATTCAATCTGATTAGGAGAGTGACACTCATGTCTCGAGTTAAAAAAAATCTGTATTTATTACATCATGAACCAAATCACTTGGTTATAAACATGCTAGAGTCTTCACATTTTACTTTAAAGGTTTCTAAAAAGCAAAACCATGCTCCATCACATCCTTATACGGTCCCAGCCAGTGCTGCACCAGAGGACCACTAAGACTGACAGGGACGTGGTGTCACAAGCAGCCGCACTCAAGCCCTGGGTACACATCGCACCCATTCCTCTTCTTCACCCACAGCCTATCCTTCCACACCAGCTGCCCACAAAGCCTCTGACAAGGTCTCCCCGACTCTACTACTAAGGCTTCTCCAAGCTGCCACGGTGCACTTACTTTCTAAAGCAGAAATGGGAGCAAGGCTCTTGACGTGTAAGCTTACTACTACCAGGCCATCGGGAAGTTCTTAATTATCAACTAGACACAACCGAGGCTCAGCTGGGAAGAAGAGTCTCAATGAAGGTCGTCAGGCTGGCCTGTGTAAATCTGGGGGAAAGCATGGACTACCCAGTACGGGTGCTACCGTTCTTGGGTCTGGAGCCTGACTAGGAAAGTGAAGCAAGGGAGCTGAATAAGAAAGTTTGCATGTATTCACTTCTTTCTGCTCTTGGCTAGTGGCTTCAAGTTCTTGCCTTGATTTCCACTCTGTCTAACCTGGAACTAAATAAACCTTTCCTCTTTGAGTTGCTTTTTGGCTGGGTTACTTCATCACAGCAACAGAAACTAGGGTACTCTAGGGCCCACGACAGGGAAGATGGTGAAGTTTGCTCACCAAATGAATCCATCCCTGGGTTGGAAAAGAATGAGGCTGTACAGCTGTTAGAGGAGACCTCTGACTTCCTTCCTCTCACAGAACCCTAAATCAGCCTCCAACCCACATTAGCGTCAGAAGTCAGGGCACTCAGATTCATTTCTCCATGTTGTCACGAGATAGACTGATTTAACCCATGACTCATTATTTGGCCCAAATATTCAGGCTTGGTTTAATTTAGTAGGGCTACATTTTGGTCCTGGCACACGTCTGAGCAGACAGAAAGGAGGACAGATTTCACTTGCAGTAGAAGACAACTGGTTTTAAATAAAGGCTAGTCCTTTCCTCAAACCAGAAGAGACGGCCTCCTGCTATTTCCCACAGCAGGAAAATTCAGCCCACTCCCCCAACCACTGACCTTTATGTTGAAGGTGACCACAGTGCCATTTGCCAGTCCAGCATAGAGGATTCTCCATCTATTATGAAGGCAGAGAACCCGGTCTTCCAGCTTTAACTGTTCTATACATTCTCGGGTCTGAAAAAACAAAATAAACCCCACCCCCAAGGCCCAAATAATCCCTTAGTAACAGAGGATAGTGGTAAATGTGTGAACAATTGTTCCTCAAAACGCTTTAAAATGAGGCTGAAAAGCATGGTAGATTATCTTAAGTATTTTTCTTCTTTAAAATATAAAGTCAAGATCCCAGGGTATAAGAGTACTATCAAAAAAGAGTCTAACAATACTGGTATTTCTAACTAAAAATGTATAAATTCTTTAAAGGGCTGACTTGAGTGTTAAGTTTCTGAAACAAATAAGGATAAAAATAAATTATAAAGCTGCATTTGGCAGGCTGGTGATGTGGCTCAGTTGGTGCAGTATTTGTCTAGCAGGCAGGGAGTCCTGGGTTCAATGCCCAGCATTATCGTATACTAGGTGTAATGGCTCATGCCTGCTGCTCAGTGTTTGGGAGGTAGAAATAGGAACACCAGAAGTTCTGTGTCAATTTGATGCCAGCCTGACACATGCGTCCCTGTGTGGCAGCCAGAGGACAACCAACTTACAGAGCCAGTTCCTTCCTTCCATCATATGGACCCCATGGATCTGAACTTTGGTCATGAAGAGGGCATCAGATCTCATTCTGTATGGTTGTGAGCCACCATGTGGGTGCTGGGAATTGAATTCAGGACCTTGGGAAGAGCAGTCAGTGCTCTTAACCTCTGAGTCACTTCTCCAGCCCTAAGCTCAGCTTTTTATCTTTTTATTTTTTTAAAGATTTATCTATCTATCTATCTATCTATCTATCTATCTATCTATCTATCTATCTATCTATCTATCTATCTATCT